TAATTCTCACAATTTCCCAGGGGATGCTGATACTGTTGCTACACTGTTGCAACACTGTCAGGACCACAAGACTACCATTACTATAATTACTTTTATGCTCTTTAAAATATCTAAGCAGCAAACTACTGTGAGAATAAGCATCTCACAGAAATAAATGACAATCTTTCTTTGATATCTCATATTTTCACAAAAGAAAAAAAGAGATGAAGATCTGATTAACAGTCATTAGGCTTAATACTTGGCTTTCACTAAGTGACCTTACTCTTTTGCCTAGAGAAGGTGAATAAGTGCTGATTTCCAAAGATGCACTGATAGTATATTAGTTTTTCCATATTATAATTTACATTGTTATTCTGTACTATTTTCATTATGGTGACCTGATTACAATAGAAATTGTTAAAATGTCATAAATAAGCCCTGAGAGCTCAATAAATACAAAATGAATTTATAATTGTGGATTGAGTTACCAATATCCCTATTGTCATTACCTAAACAATTCAATACAAACATTTTTTTAAATGAATTACATCCACTCATGATAACATCAGCAGGGAGCTATGAATTTGTTATTCATCTGTTTCAGCATTGAGTTTAACAGTTGGGCCAATACACCATGGAACCAAAAGGTACTATACACATCAAGGGAATAATATATACCTAGGGTTTTTAATTTGATCTAATTTGTTTAAATACAAAAATCACCACATTGTCTTTATTTTTTATAAAGGATTGTTTTAACTGAAGCTACTCTTTCTATGCTGTCTGCTTCCTAATAACTACAGAATAGCAAGAACTACATCATTTAATGAATACTCATATCAAAGGGATCTTTATAACATTTTCCATGCCATTGCTCTTTTACCCTTCCTCAACCCACACTTGGAGAATTACAATGAATTCTTGAAATCCTGAAGGAACTATCTTTAATCTTTATACTAGGCTTTAAAATAAATCCAAGATACAATACTAAAGAAGAGAGAGCTGCAATTTAAAGGGGGTATAATAATCTGTTAGCAAGAAAGCATAAAAAGGGGTGGGTGTTTGGGGCAGTGATTCAGACATCAGATGAGACTTCCATATCTGATTCCATATCTGTTCCATATCTGATTGCCTGGTTTCTAGTTCTGGTCCCGCTTCTGATCTGAGCTTCCTACTAATGCTCATCCTGTGAGGCAGCAGATAATGCCTCTGTGTTTGAGTGCCTGCCACCCATGTGGGAGACTCAAACTGAGCTCCTGGCTCCTGGCTTTGGTCTGGCCCAGCCTAGCTGTTGCAGCCAGTGGAGGAGTGAACCAGCAGATGGGAGGGCTCACTCTCTCAATCTCTCTCTCTCTCCTTTTCAAATACACTTTTTTTTTTTCAAAGAAAGCCTAAAAATAAGAGATAACATAATATTAACACAAAAAAGTAAACTGTACTGGGCTAAGAATTTTTGTATTTTTCTTTACAAATATGTTCACTGCTTATAGAATAACATTTAGTGCCAATAGAAACAGAGTGTTTATTGAACAAATGAATGTTTGTGAGACAGAAAATCAATCACAGTTTTCCCAGTCATACAAAACATATCATGAACCTGAGTAGATGCAGGAAAAACAATCTAGAATTTGGAAAAAGTACAGATTCCAACAGAATGCACTAGGTTCTCAAGACAAGTGCGAAAAATATAAAATCTTGATGTTCAAATATCCAGTCTGGCATGAGAAAGCCAAATATATAAATAATTGTGATACAGTGGGCTAAGTGAAAAGAAGAGTTACATACATATATAAGCATTGTAGGGCCAAAGAATAGTTGAGAAAGCTACAAATAGTTAACATTTAAGCACTAACTAAAAAATGAGTAAAAGGACAAAGAGTAGGGTCACCCAAAGCAAAGCTACAGAAATTCACAGTGTTTTTGGAGAAAAATAAGTTGTGTATTTCAAATTTTTAACTGTAATCTGAAGCAAGAATTATACATACAGAATACTCAACTGAAACAAGTTTCAGTAAATAGTACCTTTACTCAGTATATATGATATTTTCTAATCTATTTCATCTTTTTAAATGAAGGCCAAGATGTACTAAATCAATTTCAAGACCCATTTGTTTGAAAAACACTAGATTTGAGCATTAAATGGATGTGGTAAGTAGACCACCAAAATGAAAATTCTCTGCCACCATAGTCCCAACTCTTCTATCCAGATGTTTTACGCTGAGCTGCAGTGCTTAGGGAAAAACTGAAATCTAGGTCTACTTCCTACTTAAAACCACTCCATGGTTCTCAGTAGAGAACTCTCTCTTTCCATTAGCCAAAAGCTAAGAATGGAAAGTTCCATAGGTGTTTTCTCCTATGCTAAGGGGATGTTTTGGCTTTAGCATTATGCTATTTAAAAGGATTAAGAATGTTTGAAAATAAAAGTACTTATTTATGAAACTATGTTAACTCAATCTATATGTAAATGTACTTCAAGGTTTATGAGAGTCACACTGTCATACTGAATAACTATTGCAGATGCACAATTACATTGCTATTCTGGACTACTTATGGAATATTTTGTATTTCGCAGGCCCTGTTCCAGGGCTACACACTACAATACTGGGGTGGGGGAGAGGTGGAGTTCAAGCTTACATTGCATAGAAAAGAGAAAAAATAAGTACATAAGGAAATAATATTTTGGGTTAGAAAATATCCAAGTATCCAGGTAAGGCCTTTCCCGTAAGGCAACATTTGACAACTGAAGGATGCAAAGAAGCCATTAAAAAGAAATGCTAAGGTACTGGAAGAGCAAAAATACAGATCTGACCCAGGAAATAAGTATGTCATTAGAAGACCAGTTTATCTGGAGACAAGTAGGTGTTGAGAAGATTGGTATGAGATGAAATGGGAAATTACTTAAACTACCAGACTGTTCCCTCAACTAGTATGGGAGGCTACCTGGACAATGACATGATCCAATTTGGATTTTAAAAAACACATTCTTGCAGCTCCATGAAGGGATTAGATATGGTGTGATTAGAAACTGGGCAGTCCCTCAGGGTATTCACATTTCTAGTGAAGAAAGGATGGAGAACTAGACTAGGGTGCAGACAGTAAAAACAGATAAAGGCAGATGGATTCATGATGTATTTTGGAGTTAGAACCAACAAACTTATATTTAGAATTTTCTTTAAAGAGACCACAAGGAAGTGAATTGAAAATTAGGTGGAGGAGTGAACACAGTTAAAAGGAGAAAGTGACATTTTGGGACAAGGAAGAAAAGGAGTATACACTAAGTAACAGCCTTGAAATAACATACTGAAGTGGTCACATCTACAGCTCTAACCCCATACCTCATAATGTGCCTTGATTTTCCTAAAACGAGGTAATAAACCAGTGCAAAAAGAGAAAAGAACTTCTTTAAAATATTTTAGTAGTGATTGAGCCCAGACCACTGAAAAAGAAAATGTAACATAACCAATGAAAATAATGAAGCAAAATTTAACTAAGATTATTTTAGCAACAAATAGTAATTCTCACTCTGATTGCACATTAGCCCCTTGAGGAACTTTTAAAAACAAGATGCCCAGGTTCCACTGAGTAAATCTGATTTAATTGGTCTAAGGTGGACTCACGCATAAGGTACATTTTAAAAACTCATTAGAGGACTCCAATGAGCATTCGAGATTGAGTCATGAATTAGAAGTACAGCTAAGGATACCACATCAATAAACCTGTTCCATCCATGAAAGGTAAGAGATGGGGTGAAGGAACTTTCTCCCCAGGAAAGTAATATACGCCCATGAGTTTAATGGACATGTTTTGAGACCATAAGGAAATAGAAGTTTCTTCTGTGTGATTTTAAGCTGGGGCCAAATGTAATTCTCATTGTTAAGAACGTAGGCATCACACACTAAAAAAACATTATGGACATTATGAACAACCTAAAGGGAACAGATTCACAGGTGAGAGTTGAACAAAAGAAAAATAAAAGAGGTGAACACCAGCCTTGCCCAGACAGGGAGACAAAAAAATCAAAAAATGAGTCACAGTGGAAAAGCCATCAAGAAGAATAGAGGATCCCAGTATTTCTGGGACAAAAGAATTATGATTGTTTACCAGAATACATCTAGCAGCTGGTTTGACTGTATCATGCCACTGTTGCTCTTAAAACATTCTTTAATCTACATCCTCAAAGGATTTTCTGAGAGCCACAGAACCAACAAGAGCAGGACAACAGAGCAAAAGTATTTTTCACTTTATGTTTCTGTGTGGGAGCAAACTGTTGAAATCTTTACTTAATGTATGCTAAACTGATCTTCTGTATATAAAGAGAATCGAAAATGAATCTTTGATGTGAATGGAAGGGGAGACGGGAGTGGGGAAAGGGGAGGGTTTGCGGGTGTGGAGGGGACGTTATGGGGGGGAAGCCAATTGTATTCCATTAGCTGACTTTGGATATTCAATTTCATTAAATAAAGTTCAGAAAAAAAAAAAAGGAACTATTCCTCTGAAATAGACACCAGAAACTTAATTTCTCCAACTGCAATGAAGACTCCTTTTTGCTGATGGAGTGAATGGTAACTGAAGGCCAGAAAAGTTATGCTACTTACCTCAAATCACTCAATTATAGTGGTCACACTAGGACCAGAACTAAGGTTTTATCCTGTTAGGTTTTATTTTGCCCTGTTCCACCTTCTTTGTACCCTAACTACACTGCAAACCCAGCAATGTGTAGCGTTGATTCCTAAACCTCACGGCCTGTTGGGCTTTTAGATTACCCCCGTCTAGGTAAGGCAGTGTGTGTCCCGCGCTGCCCTGATAACTGGGTGGAACAAAAAGTTGAGCAAAGTGGAGCTGTCGTCTTATTTGGGCGTGTCTACCTCAGGAAGGGAGGGAAAGCCAGAGTACGGCGAGCGGAGACGCAGCCGTGGAGGAAACACAGAACGTGGGTGTGGTGAGCTGGAAAGGGTTGCCGGGACACCAAGGGAGCCGGGCCAGAGAGGTGAAGCCAGGAGACTTCCGTGGGCGCGCGCCTGGCGACCCCGCAGGAAGTAGGAAGCGCGAGCGCACACTACAAGTCCCAGAAGCCCCAGTTTCCTGGAGCCCGCGTCCGACCGCGCAACGCCCGCCGGGAGCCGGCCGGAGCGGCCAAGATGTCGCAACCTAAGAAGAGAAAGCATGAGTCGGGGGGCGGCGGGGAAGGAGGGGAGGGAGCCGAGGAGGAAGATGGTGGAGCGCTGGAGGCTGGCGTGCCGCGACCCCGGAGGACTAAGCGGGAGCGGGACCAGCTGTACTACGAGTGCTACTCGGACGTGTCGGTCCACGAGGAGATGATCGCCGATCGCGTCCGCACGGACGCCTACCGCCTGGGGATCCTGCGGAACTGGGCAGCGCTGCGAGGCAAGACGGTGCTGGATGTGGGCGCGGGCACCGGCATTCTCAGCGTCTTCTGTGCCCAGGCCGGGGCTCGGCGCGTGTACGCGGTGGAGGCCAGCGCCATCTGGCAACAGGCCCGCGAGGTGGTGCGGCTCAACGGGCTGGAGGACCGGGTGCTCGTCCTGCCGGGGCCCGTGGAGACGGTGGAGCTGCCAGAGCAAGTGGATGCCATCGTAAGCGAATGGATGGGCTACGGACTCCTGCACGAGTCCATGCTGAGCTCCGTGCTGCACGCGCGGACCAAGTGGCTGAAGGAGGGCGGGCTTCTCCTGCCGGCCTCCGCCGAGCTCTTCGTAGCCCCCATCAGCGACCAGATGCTGGAATGGCGCCTGGGCTTCTGGAGCCAGGTGAAGCAGCACTACGGCGTGGACATGAGCTGCCTGGAGAGCTTCGCCACGCGCTGCCTCATGGGCCACTCGGAGATCGTGGTGCAGGGCCTGTCCGGCGAGGATGTGCTGGCCCGGCCGCAGCGCTTTGCTCAGCTTGAGCTGGCCCGCGCCGGCCTGGAGCAGGAGCTGGAGGCTGGCGTGGGCGGGCGCTTCCGCTGCAGCAGCTACGGTTCGGCGCCCCTGCACGGCTTTGCCATCTGGTTCCAGGTGACCTTCCCTGGAGGGGACTCGGAGAAACCCCTGGTGCTGTCCACCTCGCCTTTTCACCCGGCCACACACTGGAAGCAGGCGCTCCTCTACTTGAACGAGCCGGTGCCAGTGGAGCAAGACACGGACATTTCTGGAGAGATCACTCTGCTGCCCTCCCGGGACAACCCCCGCCGCCTGCGCGTGCTGCTGCGCTACAAAGTGGGGGACCAGGAGGAAAAGACCAAAGACTTTGCCATGGAGGACTGAGCGCCGCGTTTTCTCCCAGCGACCTCCCAAGGCGGCCTGACCTGAGTGGGAGAGGTGTAGGGAGGTTGGAGGAGAAAGGGCGAACCCACGTGCAAGTAGGGGGCAAAGTCTGCTCCCTTTTCCCTCAGGGCTGCTGGGGCAGGAACCTGACTTCAGTCTCCGTTTGAGGAGATTTCTTCTAACTGTGTTCCTTTTTTTTTTTTCTACAAAGTGGTCCCCTCCCCACCCTTCAACCAAGAGATACACCATGCTTGTTAATGGGCGTTTAAGCCTCAAAAGCATGTGGTACCGAGCATTTGGGTTTCCATTTCTTTTGTTTCACAGGAAAAGCAAATACACGAATGTAAACGGCAGTTTATGAAGGGTCCATGCACACGCCTGACACCTCACAGAAAGGTGAAAAAGTTTAGTGAAACTTTCATTGTCACTTTAATATCTCTAGAGCCATATTTCTGTCTCTGAATTCCCCCTTTTCCTGGGTGCCTCTAGGCTATGATCCTTGTTCCTCATTATTTTTTTAAATAAACGACTACTGGTAATGAAGAAAAGATGAGGAAGCTGTTTAAATGGCCCTCTTCTCATTATTCTTATTACTTCCATGGGGTGCTGAAGTTGATGAACACATTAGTCCATTAAATAAAATGGACTTTATGTAATTTTATAGCAGGTATAAGACATTGAGAAGGTCTATTTAGTTTAAAAGGATCTGAAACCAGCCAAATAGTATTGATTTTTAAAGTTTTTGTCTTCACTGTTAAGACAACCAAAACTGTTTCATGTATGTTCCAAAATATTTGTGTAATTCCTGTGAAACCTGCTGACAGGAGCTTTCTGAATCTAACCCAGTACTTATTACCATAGTAAATGATTTAGTTCACTAAATCAAGGAAAATATTTTTCCTGCTAGAAAAGTGCACTCATTCTCATTGAAACTTTCTCATGTAGAAGGAGCATGTGATTTGGCCTACTTTCATCTAGTGAAATTGACTTCTTTAGTTTTTGTTCTTCTTTTTAGCTCAGCCAAATGTGAAAGTTGTGAATTTGGGAAAATCACTTGTAATGAAGTGTGAGTCATGTTATCAGATTTACTTCACTGATGTTTCCCTCCTTATCCTTGTGGCAAATAAAACAACATTCGCACTATTTTTATAGATGAAGTAAGTGTTCTGTACTGAGTTATAATGCTTTCGCCTTATTGATGCTGTCAGTTCTTAAGAAATGTGTTACAACCCCTGCAGCATACAGCTTCAGGGCAGTTGACTACGCTTAATATTTGGGTTTTGCCATACTAACAGCTTTTATATGCTAATAGAAAACAAGTGTGAAAAATTGGTGATCTTAAGTTCTACAACATTTTCTTTATTGTAATTTTGCTCTTTTGTTCATTGCATATTAAAATACTTAAATAATATAACTAATTTGCTAAAATTTTGTTGTGTTGAATGAGACTTTCTTTGACAAAATTTTCAATTTTATAATAGCAAGCAGTGCAGTTATAATTGTCATCATTTTGATGATTGGATAGTTACCATCATGTATAAATGCTGGTCTTAGGAAGACTTGTTTTAACCTGGAGGTAAAAGTAGTTCCTGTTTTGGGATCATAGATATTATAAATCAGACATCCATTAAAACTTTAATATGTGTGTGATTTTACTACATTTCTGGTGGATTTATTTGTTGTTTAACTCGATGCAGCAATCCCATTATATGGCAAGTGAAAACATTCTTCCAAATTCTGATTTTTTGTGTATTTTATAAATAAAAGTGATATAGAATTCTCATTACCTATCTAAGCACACAAAGGGATCCCATTTACAATTTGGGCAACTATCAAAGTAAAGGGTGGATATTTCATAATTAAGCAAAATCAGCTTCAAAAGTCTTGTTACTCCTTCCCCCCCAAAAAATAAATTAGCATAAAGCAACTGAAGCAATTGCTCAAGAGAACATAGCTATTAAGAGCTTAGACAGTATGCCTTCATCCAGGCTCCACCCCTCTTAACTGTGACATTGGGCAAAATACGTAGTTTTTGCCTCAAAGCTCTCATGCAAGATGAGAGTTACAATAATACCTGCTGAACAAAAATGTAAGAAACAGTGAGTTAGCACTTGTGACCACGTAGTGCTTGGTACGCAGTAAGAGCTCAATAATTTATTGTAATTGCTGGAAAGTCACACAAACCTGAAGCAGTTGGATGCATGTAAAATGTCCTTCAGAAAAAATATTCAACATTTTGATTTTCTTACAGGTATTTGACAGCATCTGCATGGCAGTACATGAAGAGCAATGTATAACACTGGGATCCTGGATGATCCAAAAGAAACCCAAGACCTTGGGAGTTAGGAAACTCCTAGAAGATTGAAAGTATGTGTCCAATCTGTCTATAAGGACTGGTACAGATTACTTGGAGCCATTAGGGGCACAGGTAAGAACTGCCAGACCTAAAGGAGAGAACATGCATGAGAAGGTTCTACCTGCCTCCTCAAACAGCCTTCTACTTATTTAACTGAATTTTCAAATGCTTTCATTAATTTATTTCATCAGTGGAAGTTTTTTTGTGTATAAACATAACAGTCATTTTAGGAATATAAACCAATAAAATGGTTTCTGCTTTCAAGTAAGTGTGTTCATAAGACAAAGTAATTAAGATGATGGGCTAAATGCTGGAGTGGTCTTGGTATTAGAAAGTTGCAGGTAGGCCAGCGCTGCAGCTCAGTGGGCTAATCCTTCGCCTGTGGCACCGGCACACTGGGTTCTGTCCTGGTTGCCCCTCTTCCAGGCCAGCTCTCTGCTGTGGCCTCAGAGTACAGTGGAGGATGGCCCAGGTGCTTGGGCCCTGCACCCCATGGGAGACCAGGAGAAGCACCTGGCTCCTGGCTTCGGATCAGCGCAGTGCACCAGCCACGGCGGCCATTAGAGGGTGAACCAACGGCAAAGGAAGGCCTTTCTCTCTGTTTCTCTCTCTCACTGTCCACTCTGCCTGTCAAAAAATAAAAAAGGAAAAAAAAAAAAAAGAAAGTTGCAGGTAATTATCTTCACTTTACATACTAGCAAAAAAGGCTTACACAGATTTTGAAGGGTGTTGAATTGAAGGGTATTGAATCTTCCTGAGGTTACATGACCAGTTCTTAGCAACTGAATCTTGAACACAAGTCTACTTCCTAACCTCAATCAAAAATCCACCTTTTCATCATATTAATCCTGAATGCTTTAATTAAAGACAGAAAAATGTAAACCTCTTGAATGGGTGACAGTTTTCATTATTTGATCAATGAAGGAATGGGGAAAAGCCTCAGAATAAGGAAGCTTTGTTAGAGATCTATCTTTCATGGGCCTCAAAGACCCAACTTCAGTATATAGGATCTCAAGGTTGAGAAACAACTGATTGTCCATTTTCTTAACTGTGTATCAAATGTGGCACTCCTTCACAGGTCCCCAGAAAACAATCCTCAATTCAGTAGCAAAGATGAATGAATTCCATGCCACCTGGCCATAGGTACTTGGTGTCAGAGAGCAGAGGCAGCCCATGAGGCTAGAGGGACACTGAAAATGGGCAGGAGTTAAGAAAGGCAAATGTGAAAGGCACTTGAAGCAAACAAAACTGCTTAACAGTTTACGTATGGATGGTCCTGTTAGCATACTCATATTCATACTATCCAGTTCTTAGGACAAATGAATCCAGAAACACTGATTCCTTCCACATGTATATCTTTGTATTCATTAGTTCATTCCATGGCTTAATAACAACAGTATTTAGGTTCTGTGATAAAATATATCCTACCTAAAAAGAACTAGGATACAATAGGGCAAATGAAAATGCCCACATCAATAATTTGCATACCTCCTTCATCCTGGAAAACCAACCCAACTAAATTGTAATCTCTTGAAAAAGGTCGAGAAGCCAACCCTCTTATGGTTAAAACTTCCTCCAAGTGCAAAATTATAACTTATCATATAGATTATGAAATCCTCAGGAAAAATCCCTCTATATTAGTACCAAGACCACATCTGTATTCTTTAAGTGTCTGATTTATTTCAGAGAATAGACACAGTATATTGGATAGATGACTTCTCAGATTGGCTACTAGAACACTGAACTGAATTTATATGTCCCTGTGCTTTTATTGTAGTTTTATATCTGACTCTATTTCCATACCCCAATTATTTTGATTTATCTTCTCAAGTGTAATAAATATTAACATGTTTTATTGGAATGTGTATACCTTGTTCTGTTCTAATTCTTTTTGGCATTAAAATATTTTCCTACTTTCTGTAATCTCTGCAGAAGCTCTGAAGGTGAGGAGGTTAGAGAACAGGCTAGAGGACTCAGACTTGTCCTCTCTATTCATTACAAAATGTTCATTTGGATGGATAGCTGGTTTGATCCGATCCTTTTGGCCAACTTCACAGCATTTTACATTTTAAAAAATCAGGTTTCCTGAATATGTGCAAACTCAGACCTGGAGACATTCTACAAATCCTTGAATGTCCCATAGCCCTTTCTAATCATAGAAGGACCTTGATTAAATCTTTTTATTTTTAATTTTTTTTTAAGGAATACAAATTTCAAAAGTACAACTTTAGGAACACAGCATTAAGGAGATTGGTAGTTTTTTGTTTTTGTTTTTGTTTTTTGTTTAAGATTTGTTTGGGCTGGTGCGGCGGCTCAATAGGCTAATCCTCCGCCTGCGGCGCCGGCACACCGGGTTCTAGTCGTGGTCGGGGCACTGGATTCTGTCCCGGTTGCCCCTCTTCCAGGCCAGCTCTGCTGTGGCCCAGGAGTGCAGTGGAGGATGGCCCAAGTCCTTGGGCCCTGCACCCGTATGGGAGACCAGGAAAAAGCACCTGACTCCTGGCTTCGGATCAGCGCGATGCGCCAGCCGCAGCACGCCAGCCGCAGCAGCCATTGGAGGGTGAACCAATGGCAAAAGGAAGACCTTTCTCTCTCTCTCTCACTGTCCACTCTGCCTGTCCAAAAAAGAAAAAATTATTTGTTTGTTTGAAAGGTAGAGTTACAGAAGGCAGAGGCAGAGAAAAGTCTTCTGTCCCCTCACTGTTTCCCTTCTCAAATGGCTGAAATGGCCAGGGCTGGGCCAGGCCGAAGTCAGGAGCCAGGAGCTTCATCTGTATTTCCCACATGGGTGCAGCTGCCCAAGCACTCGGGCCATCTTCCACTGCTTTCCCAGTGCATTAGCAGGGAGTTGGATAGGAAGTGGAGCAGCCAGGACTCAAACTGGCGCTCATGTGGCAGGCCAGCACTGCAGATGGCAGCTTAACCTGCTATGCCACAGTACTGCGCCAAGAGTAGATTTCTAAACTTTTTCGAAGAATGTGTCAAAGTGTTAAGGGATGTGATGTAATTGGACTGCATCTCAAAATATCACAAATGTTTGTAGGGAAAGACATTTGAAGCAAAGCATCTTGGACTCAGTTAAACAATAGGAAGATTTTGATAAAAATTAAGGCGTTATGACTAGTAACATTTGAATCTTGCTCCCTTGGAACTTTTGACAATAAAGTATATTTTTATAGGACTGGTAAAGATTTCAGTTGATTGAGTAGCTTTAAATACTTAGACACAGGAGGGTGGGGGTGAGGGTCGGGGAGGAGTCATCCTTCTCTTTCTTTCCAGACTGAGCCCTGCAAGAGCAGAAAAAGGAAGGACAAAAAAAAGGTGCGATGGAAGGAAATCTTCCCCAAACTTTTAAAAAATACTTTAAAAGTATAATGTGATATATGCGTTTGTGAGAAACACCTTCACATTGTGCAAAATTGCTCACTAAACATGCTTAAGAGAAAAATAGATTTAGTGGACCATCAAACTCTAAGTAACTTTGTAACTAAGAGTACTAACAAAACAATACCAATTCTTATAAAACAGCAGCAGTTAAAGACAAATTACTTATAAACACCACAGTAAATATAAGTGAAGATTGTTTAATGGGAGGAAATTGGGAAGACTTACACAAACTGATGGAACAAGGACATAAGGCTTAGCCATTCTCTCTCATTGCCCAAAAGAGATAAACTTTGGGATATATTCCTTGCCCTTGAAATTCAATTGGGTCTCACACCCTATTGCCTTCATACCCCACCCTTCATTATTTTCCAGGTTCCCAAGGCCTCGCCCAGTTCTTGGAATTCCCCTCTGCCTTCTACCCCCTACCCCCACCCCTAGCCCTAGCCCTCCTTAAAATGGCCCAGCCCTGGGCCAGTGCCGCGACTCACTAGGCTAATCCTCTGCCTGCGGCGCCGGCACCCCAGGTTCTAGTCCCGGTTGGGGTGCTGGATTCTGTCCCGGTTGCACCTCTTCCAGTCCAGTTCTCTCCCGTGGCCTGGGAAGGCAGTGGAGGATGGCCCAAGTCCTTGGGCCCTGCACCCGCATGGGAGACCAGGAGGAAGCACCTGGCTCCTGGCTTCGGAAGGAAGACCTTTCTCTCTCTCTCTCTCTCCCCGTCTAACTCTGCCTGTCAAAAAAAAAAAAAAGGCCCAGCCCCTGGGGGTCGGGCCTTCTGCCACGTACTCCATCTTGTATACACAGGCAGTTGGTCACCCACCTCTGCAGATTTATTTTCTCTGAATAAATTCGGTCAGGCTGTAAACTCTTTTTCTAACATTTTGGTGTCCTGTGTGAGGAGGCAACTCTTTTCCTAACACAAACAAAATTCACAAATATGGGAAAGAAGGAAGACTAAACAGTTCTAAGAGGGAATGTGGCCAAAAATTGTAGGGTGCAATACATTCCGCTTTGGCTTGCTGTGTTCAGCTGCTCAGTAAGCTTTGTGTTCAGTGGTTGTTACATGGTGGTGCTGAATATCAATGATGAGCATGATCACATATGAATCAACCAACTTCCATGTTGTGTATCAACAGCATTCCTCTACTCAGCCATTGAATTGGAGTTCATTCCTTTCTACAGAGATATGCATTGTATCATCACATTGTGTCCTTTGTCCAATTTCCAGAAAATAAAAGTAATTGAAAACGCCATAGAATTTACAGATCTCTTTCTTTCCCTGCAAATTTTGTTGAAGAGAAATGCATGGAGGAGTTTATTATTTTAATCACCAGGGAAGTCAATAGGAAGAGAAGGATGCAAATCCTGACCAGGTAGAGTGGACAGAGCAGCTGAGTGCAGCAACCTGAGTTTAGGAGATTGTTGGCTAGAGTAAGGCCAGTAGCTATTTTTGTACAAGCCAGGAGATAGCATAGAGACAGCCTGGGGCCATAGAAACCTGATTAGTGAGAGAGGCACTTAAATGAAGATTAGGATCCCCATGCATTCTACCTACTACTTCCTGAGGGTAAGTTTTTTTCTTAACTCACGGGCTTACAAAACTTACTTTTTTTTTTAAGATTTATTTTTATTTACTTGAAAGACAGAAAGAGAGGGAGGAACAGAGAGACCATCTACTGCTTCACTCCTCAAATACCTGCAACAGCCAGGGCTGTCTGGGGCCTGGCAGAAGAGAGCAGAATGAAGCCAAGAGCCAGAACTCCATCTGTCTTTCTAGTGGGTGGCAGTGACAGAAGTTACTTGAGTCATCATCTTCTGACTTCCCAGGGGCATTAGCAGGAATGTGGATCAGAAGTGAAGAAGCCAACATGGAACCATATGAATGCATGCATCCCAAGTGGCAGCCTAACCAGCTATACCACAATACCAGTCTCTGAGTATTTTCACTTATTATAAACTTAAATTGATATTTGACCTTCTTTTAGCTTAATTTCTGAAACTACTCAAGAACTCTTTTATGTAAGATCTGTTAAATCTCAGACTTGTGAACAAAACCTCCAAATCCCCATTATTTCAAGCTGTGTGTGCAATTGAGTAATGGGTAGCATAGAGTACCATGAGTAGGCCTTTCTTTAAAAAATGCAGCTTTGCCTTTTAGAAAGGTATTTATTATGCAGAATAATATAATCATAGTATATAATTATAAAATTAGATTATAAGAACGAAATAGGGGTTTTGAATTTTAAGTTATGTATAATGATAGAGAAAGGATTAAGATCCATAGATGATTAAGTTTTTTATTTTATGTGTTCATGGAGATGAGATTTTTTTACCTGGAATTTTCATAAAAATAGAAAACTTTTTTTTAAAAACTTTATGTATTTGAAAGGCAGAGAGACAAGGACAGAAAGACAAGACAGAGATCTCCCATCCTCTGGGTCACTCCGCAAATGCCTACAACAATCAGCTGAGCCAGGCCAAAGACAGAAACTAGGAATTCAATCCAGGTCTCCCATGTGGGTTACAGGAACCCAAGTGCTTGAGCCATCACCTGCTGACTCCAAGGATGCTCATTAGCAGGAAGCTGGAATTAGGAGCAGAACTGGAACTTCAACCTGTGCACTCCAATATGAAATGTGGAAATCCCAAGAGGTAGCTTAACCACTAAGCCAAATCCCTGCCCCAGAATATTTAGCATATGTTTCTTAACTTGAGAGAAACAATTTTATGAGTAATATTAATATATCACATATTTGTAAAAATTGCATAAATATTTGTAAGTATGTAGTGAAAAGATACACGGAACTATGGAACATAAGGGATTATTTTTCCTTCTAAACATTTTGTTAACATCTGTACTTTATTAATGCAGCTTTTAAAAGATTAATGAAATGGGCATAAACAAAACAGAGGTGTCTGCAACTATTTCAGAATGTTATGGAATCTGGGAAAGAATATTTCTGTCTACAGCCACATCCTGTAGGTGCATCGCTTACATTCCTTTGTATCCTTCACCATCTTTTCCTTGTCTCTGCTTTAGCTATGAACTCTGTCCACACTGCACTGGGAACCTTTGTTGGGGAGCTGTCCTTAGGCTTTGGAACCTGCAATATTGCACCCACATAAAGAGCCAAGAAAAGCCTGGAAATTTGTATTTCTCCGGAGGCAGTCATTAACTTATGACTGAGGAGTGAGAAGCTAGGAATGTTCTCTATCCTTGTTCCTCAGTGAGATTCTGAGATATAATGTCTTGTCCCCAAAACAGCTCTGTGCGAGTGAGCGTTTGAGGGACTTTGATGTCACATTCTAGCCTGGCCTCCTTCCCTTCCTAGTCCCACTTCCTAATTGCCCATTCTGCTCATTTTCTGGAAATACTTTTTGATAAACATTTTTAAGTGTTTTATTATCGGTCGTAGGAATCCTGACTTAGGACCGTGACCAGTGGATTTTAAGTGCCTGTGGATCCCACTAACTCTTGAGA